CGCCCCCCCCCCGTAGAAAAAACTCCAAAAAAAAAAAAAAAAAAAAAACCTAAGACGGGTTCGGCCCTCGCCACATGGAACCTGTGCTCCTGTAGCAGGTGGGCCTGCCTCTCTGTTCCACCTCTGTTCCCCTGGGCGCCACACAGGCAGGACTGCCACCCCACCAGGGGTCGCCTCACGGCCCCCACACATTGACCTGTGTCCCGTCATGGCCCTTGGCGAGCTGGCGCTGATGCCGCATGGCCTCCTCCCACTTGCCTCCCAGCCTCAGCTCCAACTCATTCCTTGAGACGCAGTCCAGGCCGCGTAGCCAGCTCAGCAACGGGAGCTCACGCCGACTCCCCCGTTCCTGCTCCCGTCTGACTAAGTAACGTCGTGGCTCCAGGCGGCATTTTTCCCTGTTACTCTTACTCACACACATCTGTGCAGGTAGGGCAGCCGCGCACATCTGGCCTCTGTGTCCTGCGGGCTCTGGGCTGCAGGGCCACAGTCACTCTGCAGGTGCGTGGTGTTTAGTTGATAAGCCAGCGGCAAGGAGGTCGATTCTACAAGCTCGTTTCTCTTTTCTGGCAGCTCACGGATCAAGCGTTCTCCTAAGCCACGCCGGAAACACCAGGTCAATGGCTGCCCTGCGGACGCGGAGAAGGACAGACTCATCACTACGGACAGCGATGGCACTTACAAAAGACCCCCTGGAGTCCACAACTCTGCCTATATCGGATGCCCAGTGCGTAACGCGGATTCCCCCCGAGGAAGGGCAGGGATGGAGGAGACTAAGCCGTGGGCTGCCGTGTGGGGCCGGTGCCCGATGGCTGCTATGCCCAGACCGACTGCTTGGGGGCCCTCCTCCTGAGGGGAGACTGCAGGCAATGCCTCTGGCAGTGTACCCCCTGCTTTTCCTTTCCCCGTAGACCTCTGGGGCTCCAGAATGGGAACTATTTGCGGTTAATTGGGAAACACGATGAAATGTCCAGGCTTTTTTTCCTCCTGGTCAGAGGGTTGTTGGGTTTCTCAGGGATAGGAGGGACATTTAGGGTTTGGTTTTCTCTCCTGCCCTCAGAATGCTAAAAAAAAAAATAGTGTATTTGCTAATATATCTGTTTTAATCGTCAGAGGGCAGGTGCGCTTGGCAGAGAGAGGAGGAGGAAGCGCCCCCACAGTGAGGCATGGTCACACCTCGGTCCTTGTCCTCCATCTCTCCAGCCTATCAAGGTCCTGGGTGCACATGTACACGTGCCCAGCACGGGCCAGGGTTTGAGCTGTGCCTGGGCATGTGGGATCCAGCTCCAAATGCATAGCGCTTAACCTGACCAGCCCTGTACTTTTAATTTTTATGAGCGAAAGAGCTTAATGGAGATTAAGAAGTGAGGAATTCGAGATTTTTTTCTCCACTGAAAGGGCACAGATGGAGTTTCTCGAAGGGTTTAAGACAGACACTGGGAGTGTTAAGGTGCTTATGTACTGGCCTCATTGGGTAGAGAAGAAAGAGGCAGCCTTCCCAAGGGGCCGAGATATACGGACACAGAGCTGGCCTGTGAGAGGGAGGGAGAGCCAGACAGCTCGCTCGCAGCCTTGGGGAGACTCGTGGCTTCTCCCACTTGAGCCACGAAGCAGCCCTGTGGGTTGTCGAGGCCCCAACCTCCTCGGAGGCAGACTCCCAGAGCTATCCTTATTTACAGAGAAGGCACCGAAGTGCATCTTTAGACAAGGGATTTGCAGTGCACTCAGCCACTGAGAGAGCGCGTATGCAAGCAGCCACTGCTCATGGAGGCTCGTGCTTGCCTCTCAAGTCAAACAACCAGTACCGACAGACATTAAGTGAATGCCACAGCCGGGCCAGATACTGTACAGCTTGGGCCATGAGCATCTGAAAGAACCCAGCTTTTCCTTGCAGAACTCACTGTGTTTCTAATGTCTTTGAGACAGACCGTGACTCTCACCTACTCATGAGGAGGGGTGGGATTCCAGAGACTTGGAAGGTCTACAGCTAGACCGCCTCCATCCTCAGGAGCAGGCCAGGAGTTGCTCTCTGAATGGGGTGTGGCTTGGGTGGCGGCCCGGCTCTAACAGTAGAGGGCGCTCTTGTGCTGCTTTGCCGTCTGGGAGAGGCAGTTGGGCTTGTGTAGTGTGTGGCTTGGTCTGGGAAAGGCTGTCTCCCGGGCTCCCCAGGATAGTCACCTGGGTCTTCCATCTGCCTGAAGCAGGGACTTCTCGTGGTGTGGAACTAATAGTAGTAGTAGTAGTAATAATAATAACAGCAGCAGCAGTAATAGAAGGAAGGGCCTTCTCCCCTCGCTTCTCTTTCCTAGCCAGCTGGCTCGTTATCGCAAAGGCAGTCATAGGAGAGTCTTCCCAGTCCTCTGTGATAGCCTGAGTTCTGAGTTCCATCACCCTCGTGGTTGCGTTGTGTGTGGAGTAATCTGTCTCCCCTTTTATTGTCTGCAATCACTTCCATCAGACGACACCAAATGAGGCCGTTTTCTTGGTGCCCTGGATCATCCTTTTTCTCTTCCTTTTTTCCTTAGCAGAAAGGGCAGAGTTTCCTCCTTCAGTTGGTGGAAAGACCCTGACCCTGGAGAACTGCACCCCAGTGGTCGCTTGTCTCTAGTGGTTCCTTTTTCTTTTTTTTTCCTTTCTGTCCTGGCCTATCCTGGCCTGGCCTATATGATGCCAGAAAGTATGTGCATGTATATGAATGAGGGACAGATGGCAGGAGAGAGGGGAAGCACCCTTCAGTAGGGACTGTCTACACCACAATCCTTTTTCCTCCAGTTCTCCAACCTGTCAGAATTCTGGGCTTGTCGTATACACTCGGTCTGTAAGCTGCTGGGTCTGGGACTCAAACCCTGGTTGGGCGTGTGGGATCCAGCTTTCTCTGCACAGCGCCTAACTGATAGGCTCCAGTGCTAGTCTTCCTTTTCCCAAACATTCCCAAAATGAAAATCTTCCTTATATGGGCTTGTTACTTTCTCTGGCTGGAAATTCTGAAATACATTCTTTCAAAGATAATGCCTTTCTTAAGACGTACCTTCTCTTAGGTACATCCTGACCATTTGAGGGGTGTGCTGCATGTTTTTGAATTCTCTTGAATTTTTTACTTTCCTTTTAAAATATTTTCTTGAGAACTCTACTCTAATCTAAAAGAGATATTCCTGAGTTCGCAGTAACAAGGGTTACCATTATGATTCAGGCCTTCACAGACTGAGTCCCTCAGGCGATCCTGCCAGCTGTCTGTTTTTGTAGATAAAGTTTTTTTTTTTTTTTTTGTGGAGAGGTTTTTGCTACAGGGGCATGTGCTCGCCAGAAAGACAGAGAGAGACAGACAGAAACTGAGAAATCATCCCCCAGGGGAGATGGCCACACTGCAATCTCTTCTCCTCCATTCTCTTCTCGGGATCTTGGGCATGCACACACACGCGCCTGGTGTGAGTTTAAGCCACCGGGTCCAGGACTCGAACCGCGGTCAATTACATGGGAGTCCAGTGACATAGCCATTACACTAACTGCTGGTCCCTGTAGATAAAGTTTTATTGTAACACAGCCAGCTCATTTGTCTGTGTGAGCTCTGCTGCTGAATTTGCTGACTGGATGACTGGCAAAAACCTGAAGTATTTACGGTCTGTCCCCTTATGGAAAAAGTTCATCAGCTCCTGACGTGATTGATCATCTAGACTGGACCTTTCAGATCAGCCCCATAGTGCAAGGGGTAAGCACTGTGCTTTTGGAGCTGGATCCCACATGGCCAACTGTGGTTTGAATCCTGGCCCAGGGCTTGAAAAACATGCCAGGCATATCATAGGATGGAGAAAGGGAGGAAGAAGGATTGTGACATGACCATGCCTCATTGGGGGGTATTTTATCTCTGTCTTTCTCTTTCCAGTGAGTACACGTGCCCTCTGGCAGTAAAAAACAAAGCAAAACAAAACAAAACAGAAAAGACGAAAGTGTAAAAGGGCACTGTTACGTATTGTGCTGGGACCACAGCGTAAGCCACAGTTGTCCTGAGCAAACTGTGATGTGTGATCCCTGTCCTACTGTACCCACAAAGGACTGCCAAGTGGCACCAAAATACAGATGACGAAAGGTAAAAATGTTCATATGCAGCTCTGAAGAATGAACAGGTACAAAGGAAACAGCATTGAGTAATGATAGAATTATCAGTCTGTGGGGACCAGCAGATGGGGTAATGGTTCTGTCGTTGGACTCACACGTAGTTGACCGTGGTTTGATTCCTAGACCTGACAGCTTAAACTCATGCTGGGCATGTGTACGCACCTGCCTAAGATCCTGAGAAGAGAATGGAAGAGAAGGGATAGTGGTGTGGCCTTTAAAGTTTTCTCACTTTCTGTCTCTGTGTTTCTCTAGCAAGTGCATGTGCCCTATAGCAAAAATCTCTCTCTCTGAAAAAAAAAAAATGATCAGCTTGGGATTCAGGAGATTGGAATTCAAGTTCTGACTCAGAAATTCTGGGTAAATACTAACTTCCACAGATTTAGTTTTCCACATGGTCGGTGCCAGCTTTATGTGAACATTGTGCCAGATGTTGGGACAGAGAAAAGCGATTAGATTCCCTTCTTGGCCCTCAAGTTCTGATTGTCTTGAGAAACGGGGAGACTGCAAGAACACAGAGGAACAGGAGGCTCTGACGTGGCCCTGTAGCTCTCGGGCTTGGTAGCAGAATTCAAGGGAGCCAGTGGGAGTCTCAGGGACCCTTCCTTCCCATGGTCAGGGCATCACATCACTCTTGCTACAAAAGTTCAACTTTCTCTAAAATTCTGACCACTAAGGGTGAGGTTGGCAGTGGGTGTAGCTGTTAGGGAGCCTTCCTTCCACTCCGTGGGAGTCTTAGTTTGAGTTTATAGTGATTTGGGGCCTGTGCATGTGCTGGGTGTGTCTTTTAAGCCTTGGGGTCTGGGGCTTGAACCACACAGTCAACCATATGGGATCCAGCTGTCATAACCCCCATTCCACTGGCTGGCCCATATTTGGAGTTAAGTATGTGCCCACCCTGCTTGCTTCCTTACAGTACTGCCTAGCTAGCTGCTGGGATCACTGGCAGGAACTTCATTCTGTCTTTGGAGAAACCTTCGTTCTTATCACACAGGAGGTGGACTGGTAGGTTGCACCATACCACTGAGTGGTCTTCCTTATTTGTTCCTCAAGAAAACCAAGAGGTGGAGAAGAATATATGAGCATGGACCCCAGTCCAGGAGAGGAACACAGGCTCCTTCTAATGTTATTTTAGAAAAGCAGGGCCCCTCTTTGGGGCCTCAGACTCTTCCTTAGTTGGAAGTTGCAATTTTATAGAAACGGACTTAGATGGCCAGGTTTGCGATATGCATGAGAGTGAGGTTGCTAGTGGGGGCCCTTGAGGAGCGAAGAGCCCCTGCAGCCTCTGCTCAGCGGTAGTTGGCTGCTTCTGTGTGGGGGTAAGGCCTGGTCACACCAGAGCTTCAGATCCTGCCAAGGACATCAGAAATCTGAGTGTTAATATGAAATTTTCAGATTTTTAAAAATACTGGTTAGACTGAGCAGGCCAATCGAAACAGATCCATGGGCTGTCTGTGGGTTTGCCAGTTTGTAGTACATTTCTGCCTCCCCCTCCTTTTTTTTAAGAGAGATTTTTGTTATAGATCACATGTACTTGCTGGAAAGACAGAAGGAGACAGGAAGTGAGGAATCACCTGGGAGCAGGGGGAGGGGACAGGACGCCTGGCCACGCCACAT